TCATGTATAAGACATGTATAAATAACCTACAAATCATCTATTACTACATTTGCACTTCTTGAAATCTGATAATTTTTAATTGGTTCATTTTCAACAGCAAACAATAATTGTTATATATATATATATATCGTTATGGATTTCAAAGTTAATGTTTTCTAGAATCATCTATTAATAACAGTTCTATAATATAATCTATGAATTTGAATTTCCCACCAAGCCATGCTTGTTGACATCCCTGGTGACGCTGACAGGTTCCAAGACTTTTTCCAGATGATGATCCAACAGGGAAGGTGCGGGCCGAAGGGGATGAATATCCATAACTACCAGCCATGGTAAACTACAGGGTACTAGGCCAAACACACGGCATGGTGCCACTCATCGGTTGGTCCAAGCACGACCGAGGCTCTCTGAGCGCAAGAACGAGCATGATGCAGCCGTAAGCCTCAACTTCAGCGATGAACAGTTCGCTTACCTCCGCAGGACTATGCATTGCTTCGCTGTGAGCCTCATAGTGGGGCCCCACAAGAAGATGGTTTCCAACTTCCAAACTAGGGAAGACGGATCCCTGTAGGTTCCACACCCACAGAGTACATTGGAACACCTTAACGCCGGGAAGTGTAGTTCCAAAACATTTATGATAATCACCATCGTGTACGGGTCATACTAACATAATCCTGGATGCTAGCGTGAAGCACCTTAGTCGAATTCAACCCAAGGGTCCGACCCCAACAGAATGAATCGACTGAAACTATTTGGACCATACAAGGTGGTGCCCCATAGGCCCTATAGTATATACACACCATAGATCCAACAGTATACCACGAATCTTCAGAATTTCCAACATTTCGACTATGGATGGTGGATGCACCTTCATAGAATTGGATGATGGGAAAATTTACAGGAAAGCCCTATATTTGATGGTAAAAACCATGGTTTCCTGTAGATTTTCCCTTAAACCAACCCAATGACACCTGTGGTCATGTTGGCTCAAAGCCTCGTTTGAGAGCCGTAACAGGTCCACCCAGGGTAGATTCTCCGCGCCTCAAGCCTCAAGCGGGCTCGGACTCATGGTCCAGCCAGGCCGTGTAGGGGGGTAGGGGGGGGGGTACCGGAAAGAAATGCCAGGGTTTATCATGCTGTAGTACTGTAGTGAACATCCTAACATTTTCCCATATTTTCCCAAATGGAAATTCTATGAAATTGTCATCTTGGGGTTAAAAAAACAAACTTGCAACAGCCCCAGTGAACTGACATTGCTATGGAAAATGGCCATGCATAGATTACCTCGTTTGGCTCACAGGATCAGTGGCTAGCCATCTACCACCATCCGTCAAGATCTCATATGCTCATATGCTATACTCAAATGCTGGCCTCGTGCCACCTGTGCACTACATAACAGGATACCTCAATGCAGTGTTCACTACTGCCTGTAATATGCCCATACAATCTATTTACAACGTATTACTGCCCATGAAGTACCTTCATAGTAGCCATAAACTAGCTACTATCAAGATCTCATGTGCTATAAATACATGCTTGCCACGTACTACCTATATACTATCTACATGATACCTCTATAACACCTCACCCATCCCCACAGGAGGGGGGGTGGGGGGAAAGCTACACCTTCCAACACTCCATTTACAACGTATTCCTGCCCATGAAGTACCTTTGTAGGAGCTATATGCCAGCTACTATCAAGATCTCATGTGCTATACATACGTGCTAGCCATATACTACCTATACACTATCTACATGATACCTCTTTAACACCCCACCCATCCCACAGGGGGGGTTGGGGTAAAGTAGACCCTAGATGGATAATTTATATGCTAGAAACATGTCAACAATATCGGACAGCGTATATACACGACCATGACCATGAGGGTGGGGGGGGTTGCAGGGCTGAGCCATATATATATATATTTATATATACATATATATATATCATATTATATTATATATATATATATGTATTATTTATATATTATAAATTAATTTATATATATATATTATGTTATATATACATAGTGGGTACATGTACATATAGTGTACACATACAGTAAATGTACACATAGTGTACACATATAGATGAGATGATATTTTTTTTTTAAATGTATCTAATGTGATGTGTATATGCACGGTATATCTATAGTCCCGTGTAGAACAAAGAAAGTTGATTTTAGCAAAAAACAACAAAAACACAATCGAAAACAGAATCACCAAAAAAAAACAACTCGACAGGAACAGTCACCAGAAAAACAAACAATAACAAGAAAAACACTTTATTTTCCTCAGTTGTTTTTCTTTCTTGTTTTTTCTTGTTGGTGTGTTGTTTTCTTTTTGTTTTTTCTTGATTTTTCCTTGAGTTTGGCGTTCTAGTTTGTTTCTGTTTGTTCGCTCTGTTTTTTTATTTTTTTATTTTTTGTCAAACCCTATATTCTCTGTGTTGCTGGGGTCATAATGATATATACACAATACACTGAGTATATTTTTGTGTTTATACACATGATGCCACGTGCTCATGTAATATGTGATGTAGGTAACAATACATGATGATAGATGATATGATTTGATTATTTACACGTACATAATCGTAGTGTATACTGAATTATATTAAGAACAATAGTTACGTACAAATTTTATTGTCATTATATAATACTATATAAATGCTTGTTGTTTCTGCTATTATGATCTATTGACATGTGCACTGACATGTGCACTGGTGACAACTTGAGTCAATTGCTCACATGTTGGAGGATAATCATCAACCAGCAATGGGGCATACTGTACCCATTGACTAACACCACTCTTGATAATGAGATGACCCCCATATGTTCTAGGATTTGCTAGAGGATCGCCACATCCCATTTGTACCCTATATATTTACATATTTATAGCATTTGGGAGGCAGCCTCCCATTTGCACGCTATTTGCGGCATTTGAGAGCCACAACCTCGTCACTGGACCCTGTCTAGCTGTATATGTCTAACATATCAATCTAGTACATACTATCCCAAACTTGTTTATGTACTGCCTATAGCGTACCTCACACATGGCTTACCATTCATTGTATGCCTTTATGCTACATAGTTGCTGCCTATAGATTATATCCTCAAAGCGTACCTATGCATACGTAAAAAATCCTGATTACTACCGTATATGCTTGGATGCAGTATGTAGCATGTACCTACCAGAAAAAAACATATATACATAGACATAGACATACACTACTTAAATATAATGCCCAACTCATATATATATATGTATATATATATATACCGATATATCTCAAATGTAGTGTATAGATGGCTTCATTACTACCTATACTCCTTACACCCTGCATATACTACATACACATGCTTCATAGCGTACCTATGTACGACTCATTGCATAGCGTGCCTATACACCATATGCGTATATACTCCCTGTACGCTCCTTAGGGTCCCTATATACTCTCCAGATATTCCCTATATACTGAGTATACTGGATATCAAGCACTACTTACAGCTGCTCAAACACTGCCCATGTAAGACTGTTGTTGTTGTGCCCCCCCCCAGGCCACCGGGGGGGGGAGGGAACCATCTGGCTGGGGGAGGGTGGGTGGTGATCCCTGCTGCTATATAATGTATATACAATTGAATTGTATGTGTATATATATATATACATATATGTACTTCTTTAATCTTGTGAAAAAGAATTCCTCATAGAACTCCAAAAATCAAGGAAAAATGAAACACAAAAACACATATATAATCAAAAAAAAATCCAAAAAAAACTGAAAATAAAAAACAATCAGAAAAAACAAAAAAGAGAAACTAAATAAAAACAACTGGAAAACAGAGGCTTCACAGAAGACTCAGAAAAAAAAAAAACATACAAAAACAAAATTCACAAAAAAAGGAAACTTGGCTGCAAAATTGGAAAAAAACAGGAAAAAAGCAGATTTTGAGTCCGGGATTGAGTCTTTTGTTGAGTCTGGATGTGTTTCGTTTAATCGTTTTGGAGAAAAAAACAAAAACGTTAAAAGACTGAGGGAAAAAAACAAACAATATGAAACAACACGAAAATAAAAAAGGACACTTGGCTGCAACATGCTGATATTGAAGTCAAAACTTGGGAAATTTGCTGAACATTGAAAAAACAAAAAGCCGAGTTGTTTTTTGTTTGTTTGTTTGCTTGCTTGCTTGCTTGTTTGTTTGTTTGTTTGTTAGTTTGTTTGTTGCTGGTTGTTGGTTGTTGGTTGTTGGTTGTTGGTTGTTGGTGTTGTTGTTGCTGCTGGTGTTGTTGATGTTGTTGTTATGTTGGTGGTATGTTGTTGTTATGTTGGTGGTATGTTGTTGTTATGTTGGTGGTATGTTGTTGTTATGTTGTTATGCTGTTATGTTGTTATGTTGTTATGTTGTTATGTTGTTATGTTGTTATGTTGTTATGTTGTTGTTGTTGTTGTTGTTGTTGTTGTTGTTGTTGTTGTTGTTGTTGTTGTTGTTGTTGTTGTTGTTGTTGTTGTTGTTGTTGTTGTTGTTGTTGTTGTTGTTGTTGTTGTTGTTGTTGTTGTTGTTGTTGTTGTTGAGTCTTTGTTTTCCACTTGTTGTTATTTTGTTTCTTTTCTGCGTTTCTGATGTGTTTTTTATTTCCAGATTTTTTTTTAAATCAGTTTTTTTTTATTTGTTTTCGGAATCAGCACTTCTCTGGGCATTCTAACTCACAACTTTAATCCAACATAGACGTTAAAAACCCACCATTCCTAGATCCTTTTCCCATGAAAACCACAGGTTTTTCCATCGCTTCCACAGCCTCGGCCTCGCCTCAGGTGCTCCGAGGCGTTCACGGCGCGCAGAGAAGCGACAGTCCGTGAAGCACACGGAGCTGTGCGCATTCTTCGTGGCACCTGGGCAGGGAAACCGGAAGCGGATGGTGCGGTGCTCACGTGAACTGTTTGTTTGTTTCTAAATTTATATATAATATATATATATATAATTATATATATATATATATATGATGTATATTTTGTTTGTTAATGTTTATACCAAAGGTCGATGATTTTCCCAGCTATACAATATTGTAGAAGTATGTAAACCTTCGTTGAGTTCAGGGATTTAGTAACCATGTTTGATGAAAGCGACAAATACCAGACTGCGGCTACGTCGAATCGTCAACCCATGGGTAGACCAGCAAGGCCGACCAGGTCGTCCGACCTAAGGTGGATGTTCTCAACAATGAAGAGATATGAAGAGTTTAGCAAAAATAACATGGGTTTTGTGATGGTCAGAAAATCGGAAGTTTCCCCCAAAAAAAATGTGGTTTGGAGGATGTTCAACCATGAAAAAAATGTGATTTGACCGTTTGACCATCAAATATTGGGATCCACCCGTGAAAACGACGACTGTCCTGTCAAACAGTGGGGCATGGTGGGGATTTTACTTGCAAAATCCATTTGATGAGATTTTCGAGCACGACAACTTGGATTTTCTCTGTAACAAGAACGGAAACATATATGTGATTTGATGGGATGATTTGTGGTTTGAAGATTTGCGGAAACGGCGAAGAGCCCAGCAGAAGCTGTTTGACCCCTGCATTTGGGTGTCTATTAGTCTGTCCCAAGTTTGATCCTGATCCATCTATGCGGTGATCGAAAGGATTTCAGCAAATATAAACGTTTTGATGCAATCATGCCTGTGTGATACGAGCTTATGCCAACAGTGAACATCAATGCAATCACCAAACAAAGATTACTTTGTCATACTTTATATCAATTTATTTTTGTAGAATTTCTCTGCATTGCGTTTCACGGGTGCAAAATGGATCCAAAATGCCCCAATCGAGGTGTTTTTGTTGCTAGGGGGTGAAGGCCGCAGTGAATAAATTGGATTGTGGGAACCAACACGGATACCTTAGGTCCTTATAGTACAGGTATTATGTTTATTTATCCTAGGGTATGCAGGGTATCCAGGCGCATCCGCTGAGGAAGGAAAATGCACTCGTGGGAATCGGTGCACTTTCGCACATGGAGTGGATCAATTGCGGCCCCGCCCCGACCTTTTCAAAACGAGGCACGCGGTGGCCGCATAGTTTCTGTGCGTCGACCGGAGATTGATTGGACCATAGGACATAGGACCACTGGCCCAGTGGATGTTTGACACCCGACTTCATGGAGGACTCTGGCAATGCCATGGATTCCCATGGTATTCACATGGGAATCGTCTTCACATCTCTTTTTTCAGATCCTGCGTCCAGAGATTTTTTCGCGATATCTCCATGGTTCCACATGGTTTCCCATGATACCATTTTTTGAACCCGTTCAGATCATGTCCGCATGGCAATTCAGAGAACCATCTTGGACCATGTTTTCTTGGCCTTCAAACGTTTCAGGTTGGCTTCATTGGAAATCAGGGCCTTTTTGTTGAAATAAACTCCTTCATCAAACCAGAGATGGAGTCAACTCATGAGGTCTCCCATAGGTCTTGGTGGTTTTTTTCCTAAAGAGCAGTCCAAAAATCGGTGGTCGGAGTTGAGATTTTGACCATACCCATGGCTCCTCGAGCGGCTCCCTTGATGCTCCCCCGATGCCACCAGGCTGTGCTCATCGTATCAAATGTGGCTAGCCATGAGCCATGAGTTTGATGTCGGATGGGGGTTGGAAAGATCAGCAGCTGCTCAAAGATATCATCTATAGGGACTTTAAGCCTCAAAGTATGGGGATAAAAGTGGGTATCATGGTGAAATCATCATATATCATGGTTGCTGATTGTTATATACTATACAAATTAAATTATGATTATCCAATCTATCGATCAACTATAGGAATCCTCATTCGGAGAAGATCCATTCACCTGGTATCTTTACCCAATACATTGCTAGGTTTCACGTAGGTCAACCCATTCTGGCAACTTGAAGACTAATTACTAAAGTAACATTAGATCCCCAACTAATTAGTCTAGATCTATTATTAAGCAGATGCAAATTGGCCTGTCTCGGCACCCCTAACAAGCGGGGTTGCCACGTGAGTTTCTCTGAAAATGGGCTGGCGTTTGGTTGTCTCGGCTGACAAACCACCCATCAACCTCACTTCACGGTGGCCATGAGTCCCCAACCATCAAAAAACTGCAGTTGGTTGAATTGATTTTCATGGTATCTCATTTTTTCAAAGGAGCTGCAGAGACTCTCGAAATGCGCAAAGGTGAAATACGCTCTCCCCTGTCACCCCGTGCGACCCCAGGTCCACCCATGTTGACTGCTGCTGCTGCTGTTTCAGGTTCATGCGGTGTCCCTATGGTGAGTCCTGCACCCACGCGCATGGTGCCGGGGCCAAGTTGCACCCGTTGCACCCCGAAACATGGATGGGTAAATCCGAAGAAGGGTCCCTTCTGTAGGTTCATTATGGTTCATTGGTAACAATGTTTGAGCAATATTCCAAATTCATCCAAAAATCCCGGTTGTCAGGTATTTTTTGGTTGGGTCGATCCGAGGTGTTTTGATCTCGCCTTTCTGGGGGATGATACCAAGACTCCATCCACTGGAGGATATTCCGTTTAACACAGCGAATTGAAGGACGTTTGGTCAACATATAAGTAAATCAATATAAATAAATCAATATAAATCATATAATATCATATAATATCATATAATATCATATAAATCCATATAATAGTTACATTACCAAGTTGATTTACCAAGTTCGATGGTAATCCCAAGGGTAGACTCCCGAACCCGACCCATCCCAGCATCCCAGGCATTGAAGAGTTGCGCCTTCCACACGGAGAGGTCTTGCCGGAGGGGATGGAGGCGCTGGTACCGATGGTACCATTAATGGTAGCCCCTGGTGGCTGGATGGTTCATGGAAATTGTCTTTAAATGGATCATTTGATGTTCCAAAAGAGCAGTGGAAGAGTTTGTTACCAAAGATTGAAATAGTGATAAAGTACTGTTCGATCTTTTCTAGCTGAGAGTCTCGCAGAGCTTTGTTTGATAAGGTGCCTCCAAATCCTGTTTATAATCTTCCCCATTGGATGGCTATTGAATTCAGGGCTATACCCATTTTTCAGATGCACCCGCATGTTTGTTTGGCGTAATTTCGTTTGACTTTTTAGCAATCCGTGACCCCGAAATAACATTGGTGTAGCAGTACATCTATGCATTTCGGGGACCAAAATTGAGGTATATTATTAAAGATTGCCGGGATTGAATTGTAATTTAAAGTGAATGAAACTGGCCATAAAATGGAGGGTTGATGATTCAGGTTTTGAGGATTTTGCCCATTTGACCAGCGACACTGGGTAGCAACGTGGAGTCACAACCAGCTAAGAGACTTCTTGTAACAACGGCGGTTTGAGCAAAGGCTTCACAGGGATGTATTAGTTGGATCACAAAGACCCATACCCCTTCAAAACACATCTGCACACTGCATTAGTTTATATATTTTTAGATATATATATTTATGTCGAAAGTCATTGTTTTTTTCACCGCAAAACCAGGGTTTCTGGGATTCCATTAGCGCTGTCCGACTGTCGCCCTGAAACGCCCGGGCGAACCCCCAGGCGGGCTACGTTGGACATACACACAGCTTGGATGGACATCATGGCCAGTTAGACTACAAGTTGCCCCAAGACCAGCAATCCATTTCGACCTTTTCCGGCGAAGATGCTGAGTCGCTGGGTGGGAAAACTGGTCAGTTGAGCGACCTGAAAATCAGAGATTCTCCCCAAATGGCGATTTTCGTAGGGAAGATATGGGAAAATGGTGGTTAAGTATATGAAATGTGGCGGTTTCCTATCTTCAGACAAACCCATATCATTCCATATCCATGTGAACGGAATTTTAACACTTTTCAGCATGAGATTCATTTAGTCAAGGCGGCATGTTCTGTTGCCACGGTGAGATTGACCAAAAATACAACCCCGTGTTTTTTGGTGACTCCCCCATGATAGTATATACAAAGCAGGAGCGACCCCTTTGTATCTGATCCCCTCATTTTGAAGGGCCACTTTGAACAGAACCCAAAATTGAGCGGTGGCTCCCATGTATGTCACATACTTGTTCATGTGAGGGCCCAAAACCCGGCAAATCAGCAAGTATCATTGATGTGACCTCCCCATCTTGACTGCTATTAGCTGCTCTAAGCCCTCAAGAGCACCACCAAATGAGAACTTGAGAGCTGATATGAGCAAGTTACGAGTTGAGTGCGTGCCTTTTGTGTGTTAAGAGCATTCAAGAGGGATTAAGAGTCACTATGAGGGGTGTAGGAGGGTTGTAAGGGTCACTATAAAGGATTATGATGGCTTTGACAGGCACTATGGAGGATTATGAGGCCTTTATGGGCTCTTTTGATTGACCTGCCCACACCCCGGAAAAGGAGGGTCACACCCCACAGGGTAGAAATTGCTTTCTATAGAGCATGCCCTTGTTAGTGGTTGTTGGTGGTTAATAAGCACTGAATACACCCTTTTATTGGGGTGTCACCTTGGGGGGTTGAATCAGCACGCGTCATCTGTCCATGCTTTGTGTTGCGTGCCAAAGGATTCGTCTCAAAACAGGGTACCTCATTCCGTCCGCTGATTAGTCATTCAGGTCACTCAAATGGTCTCTTCCTTGTTGAATAACTTGATGTGTTGAGCCTGAAAAAGACTTTGAAGATATGTAAGATCCATGTGCTGACGTTTTCGGACTCATAAGCAGTGCGTCTGTGACACCAATTTCTAAGGATATTCGTTGGGTTCAAGGGGAATTTTGCAGGACAATGTATGTTTTGCTTTAATATAGGGGCATCCTCTAAATGTTCCCTGAGTTTTTTGGCAGGGTCTATGTTGCTCTACCCAATACGCAGCTTTTGTCATATTCTGAGATGAACCCTGGATCAAGGCTATCGCTTCCTATGCTCGTGAACCAGTTTGGTGTACCTCCCAAGAAAGGCGGCGTAAGGCCGCATCCAGAGTGGAGAGAAAGGGCGGAGATCGAGATACATGATGATAAATTGCAGCTGACTGGTGTCTAGTGCGCAACTTGTTGATATTTTTTCCGGGGTTTCTTAAGTTATGGGGGATCCCCAGTCGTCACCTTTGTTTCAATACTGAATTTATGGTCATCCATGACGATGATTTGGGGCCCGTGATGGCCCGTGTGACTCGGGGAAGCTCCATGTCTGATATATTCAATCTATACATACATCTGACATGGGTTCGATGTATCTGGTCATTTGAATCTATATTCAATGTTAATTTCGTGTCATCATCTTTGATCATTTGAACTTCGCATTTCTGTGTTGAAAGATGTTGAAAGTGAGACTACCTGGTCGGTGAATGGCCTTGGATGATGCAACAACAACTCAAAGATGATGCTTCTGAGTCTTGAAGAAACCATGTTGAAACATAAACACTCATGAAATCGATTGAAATCGCATGTTTTTTCAGCTTATCATTTTTTCATGGTCGGGTAGTATTCTAAGATGTTCTGGAATTGTTTTTTTGAATCCATCCCAGATATCAAAGATTTCTGGGTCGTTTTTTCTCAGCCTCCAGCGTTGGGCACGGTTCGCACATGTGACAGATGGTAAACATCGAGCTCTAGGCATAATCCCTTCCTCCTAATACTAAACCCCCCCCCCCCTAATACAAAACACGGCAGGTAGTTTTTAGTATTAGGGGGGTATTTATTATTAGGGAACCAAATCGAAGTCATGTTAATTAATTAATTAATTAATTAAATTTCCTTATATAACGCAATTAAAATATTGCCAAAAATGGCAGTTCGAAGCTTACCCCTAATACTAAATTAAAACCCTTAATACTAAAAACTATTTTTTACGATCTCAAAATCAATTAAATTTCTTTATATAACGCAATTAAAATATTGCCAAAAATGGCAGTTCGAAGCTTACCCCTAATACTAAATTAAAACCCTTAATGCTAAAAACTATTTTTTCCGATCTCAAGATCAATTAAATTTCTTTATATAACGCAATTAAAATATTGCCAAAAATGGCAGTTCGAAGCTTACCCCTAATACTAAATTAAAACCCTTAATACTAAAAACTATTTTTTCCGATCTCAAAATCAATTAATTTTCTTATATAACGCAATTAAAATATTGCCAAAAATGGCAGTTCGAAGCTTACCCCTAATACTAAATTAAAACCCTTAATACGAAAAACTATTTTTTCCGATCTCAAAATCAATTAAATTTCCTTATATAACGCAATTAAAATATTGCCAAAAATGGCAGTTCGAAGCTTACCCCTAATACTAAATTAAAACCCTTAATACTAAAAACTAGCCCCCCTAATACTAAACACCCCGGGATGAAGTAGTTTTTAGTATTAGGGGGGAGAACCCACAAATGGTAGGTTGATTTTTGAATTGTTTTTTAAAGGGGATCAATTAAAAGTCAAATTGGCCAAACTGAAATTTTCGGAAATTGGAGATGGATGCCTGTTTTTAGTATTAGGGGGACGTTTAGTATTAGGAGGAAGGGATTATTTTGCCATGGTCCAAACTGGGACTATATAATGGGCTGAATTTTAATAACTCACCAAGCCAAAAAAAAAGGCCATTTGGGGATAGTTACCCCTACTAATCACCATTCCAGTGAGGTTGCAGTGAGGTCATCATAATTTACCCCGATAATATATATATATATTATGATTATTATGTTATAAATATACGTATAGATATATAATATACGTCTAATATATATATATATAATAACAAAAATAAAGAGATGTTATATATATATATATATATACATTATACCCATAACATGAGGGAGGACCATCAATCCATTAACAGTCTAAATACGTAGAAGTACATGAAGAATTATAAATATGGAATGATATCTCCCCACTTTTTTTTGAGTCTCATTTTATGGATTAGCATAAGCCACATCGACCATGTAACTTGTCCATGGCTGGTGAAAAATCCCCATCGTGGATGAGTGATACAAAAAAAAATCCCTGCGGTAAGATAGCTATGGACAATGGTCCATTTAGTTTGATAATTTACCTCTTAAACATGGGGATTTTTTATAGCAAACTCTGAAAAAAATCCCAGAGTGTATCCCTATTTCGAGAAAAAAAACACATTCATATTCCAGTATACCACCATTTTTGATGTTAATATGTTTAATCCCCATGTTTCATGGAACGACACAATTTTTGATGGGTCACCAGTTTTTGTTCAAGTGCAGCTGACTGTGTGGCCCAGTGGCTTGGAACTTCCTCCACCCTGGGACCCGTCACTGCGCTGCTGCTTGGTGCAAAAAAATGATGATGATGATGATGATGATGATGATGATGACGATG